TAAAAATAAAATTTAACAAAACAATATATATATAATAAAAACACACAATTTAATAAAAACTTCTGCAGATGGATGTATTGCAGTATGTGATGAACCTACATATAACAATATGAATAAAGCAATGTTTAATTTTAATAAGTCATTGTTTAACTTATCTCATAAATCGTTTTATAATGACATTGATATTCAAATTTTAGACGAAGCCAGAACAGTTGTTCCATCTGGCTTATTGTGCGATAGGGGCGATATCAAAAATGAAATCGAAATCGATATATCAAAAGCATTTACTCATGCGTTTATTACTATATCAGAAATACCAGTATTTAATCAATTCGACATTTGGCGAGCGTTTGATGATACAACTGATATTTATGACCTACACGACTTAACGTTATATTTTCTAGAAAAGAAAACTACTATACTGAAACGGACAGGAAGAATGCTATTTAATAAAAAATAGTGCTTAATATATGGTGTATTTTTGAAACAACTAGATAACATGACAAGAGAACGAATTAATATTTTATACTTTAAACAACCTTCATTTATTCACAAAGTTGAATATAAAAATATTGTTAATGAACTTTGGAACACAAACGTTAGCGAAGACAATGAAGAAGATAAATGTATAACAAAACTGATCGCAAATGTTAATTATGGACTTTTAGAAAAAGGGGGAGCAACTGATCAGAAAAGCACAGTGTTTAAAAATCTTAAGGAAGCTTTAAACTATCAGGCAGAGTATGGAGGTAAAATGCATAAATTAACACATTTCACGACAGAACAAATTACAGTAGATGAAGAACAATATACAGCAGAAGAAGAACAGGCGTCATATTATATACTTAATTTAAAGGATACATCACGCTTAAGGAATGGTTTTAGGTATGTAAAAGAATTACTACTTCAATATCATAATTTTAGAATGTATCAAGATTATTCTAAATTATATCAAAATGGCATTAATGTGTTCAGTGTCAAAACAGATGCATTTGTAATACAGCGATCGGATATAACAAAAGCAAGAGAGCTTTTAATCTTTAATAATGAAATAGGAGGATGGAGAATTTCAAACGACGAATATATTAAATTTCCTACTGTAGATTATGAAATTACACAAAACGAATTAATACAAATACCAGTTTATGAAAGTAAAACTATTGATATTGTAGATGAATATGACACAGATAATATTATTGAAATTATTAAAGAGCACAATATTATGATGATTAGGGGAGAAGTGCCCGGCACTGGCAAAAGTTATATATGTCAAAAAATGGTTGGTAAAAATTATAAAGTAATCTTTGTAACACCTACTAACAAATTACTGCAGGCATTTGAAGGAGAAGCAATGACGATAAATAAATTCTTTGGTATAAATTATGGAGATGCTAAATTAGAACCATTTGATTTTACAGATTCCGACGTTATAGTATTTGATGAAGTTTATTTTAGTAATTTAAATACATACTGGAGAATAAAACAATTTGTAGAACAGAACAAACACAATAAAATCATAATAGCAACAGGAGACGCCAAGCAATTAAAACCAGTTCAAGAAATAACCAACACTCAGGATTATGAAACATACACTGATAATATAGTTAATCATATTTTTGAATATAACATTTTGTTGAAAGAATGTAAAAGACTTAGCAATGCAGATGACAAAATCAAACTCAAAAACATTTACAATGATATTTTTATTTACAAATTACCTACTAAAACAATTATTGAAAAATATTTTACATATACAACAGATATTAGCGGGTCAAAAAATAATATAGCATTTTTAAATACAACTTGTAAAAATGTATAAAATGAAATTAGAAAATTAGAAAATAGAAAAGATGAATATGAAGTAGGAGAATTTTTAATTTGTAGAGAATATACAACAACTAAAACATCAGTGTTTAATGTAAATTTCAAATATAAAATTGTTCATACTGGAAGCGATGGAATATTTACGTTGAAAAATGTTAAAACTGAAATTCTACAGTCTTTGCCAGTTGATAAAATAAGAAGTAATTTTATATTTGCATATTGCTCGACTTGTCATTCTGCCCAAGGCAGTAGCATTGATGATACCATAACAATTTTTGATTATAACCATTTTTTGGTAAAGAATTATCCAGAATGGATATGGACTGCAATTACAAGGTGTAGAGATTTAAACAAAGTCAAATTTTATAAATATACGAAAGATATTGATGATGTATTTAATCAAAAATGTATTATGAGTTATTTTGAAAGGAAAATATTAAATTACAAAGAACAAGACAGGAAAGCCAAAAGAACAATACCTAAAGAAGGTTATGTAAATGCGCAATGGTTTTTAAATAATATCACTAATCAATGTAATTACTGCGGATGCGGTTTTTCTATGGATATTAAAAACGGTAATATAATGACAAATCTGACAGCGCAACGTAAATCAAACGAGTTGTCGCACGAACTGAATAATATTATTCCTTACTGTGTTAGGTGCAATTGTAGCTGTAAATGATAATAATTTAAATAATATTTTAATATTTCTTGTAAAATGTATTTAAAGAAATAAAAACTATATATATTATAGTAGAAATGGTACTTAACAATTTACCATTAGAAATTAGATTGAATATTATGTCATATAACTGTTATGATATATGTCCTTACAGGTATAACGATATCATTAAACACCCTTTTCCAACTTGGGAAAAGGTAAAAAGAAATCCATTCTGGATAATGTCTTTGACTGAATATTTAGATGGTAAAAAATCTGAATATGAAATATACTTAGAATTAAAAACATTTTACGATTATTCTTACATATTTAATATTGAATATAAGTTTAAGCATCTATGGTTTATTAATAATATTGATGATATGAACATTAATGATAGAAACATACTGACAAGTCAATATTATGACGCTATGAGAGCACTTTTATCAATGATGCCATTTAGAACAGAAGCAGAATGGCATATCCGGTTTTATCATATATTAGGCACTGAAGACTTCTACAAAAGCGAAGAAGAAGCTAGCGATCATGAAAGTTTTGGTAGCTATTATTAATTTCATAACCATACTATGATTATAACATTTATACCCTTATATGTTATAATTATAATGTAAGTATAGCGTTTTATATATTGAAGATAAAATCCTACAAGGCGGGCCATGCGCAACTCCGGAATATCCAAATTTTGAAAAATGAGTAATTATTTGTTGTAAAATGTATTTAAAGAAATAAGAGCATAATACAGTATGGAGGAAATTGTATTCAAACATTGTTCAAGATGTAATAAATCAAAAGCTGTTGAAGAATTCACTGAACCAAATAAATTATGTAATCTATGTATTGAAGACAATAGGGAATATCGTAGATGTAAAAAGGAAGGGGTTGAGAGAGCGAAGGAAGTAAAAGAACCGACCATAACATATAAATTAAGAAATTATTACTGCGAAGTCTGTAAATATGAATTGAGATTGTGTAAGAAAAGCCAACACGAACAAACATTATATCATCAAGACAGATTAAGAAGAAAGGAACATCCAGAAGAATTTGAAAATGAAGAAAAACCAGACAGAATACGTTTTCAAGATGGTAAGGAGTATTTTAAATGCAATAAGTGTAAAAGCGGGGTTATGTCTTCTCTATGGGGTAGGCATTGTGCAACTCTAGAACATCAGAAGAAAAAAATGAATAACTCAACTGAAATTTTACGATAAATATGCTCAAACATATTTATCATAAGATTTGATGCAGGTAGGATTTCCAAGGGGCGCCTTACCTTCGCGAGATTTTTGGGTAGAATATTTTCGGACTTCAGATTTCGCGCTTTTATCTAACTGCGCCTGGCCTATTCTAACTATTGCAGGGTTTCTTGGGTGGTGCGAAATAGTTTTCGTCCATCCACAGCAGGATAGCTTTTTGGAGCAAGGTGGGTGTCAACATGGGAGGGCCGTTTGAGACCCGAGGTGAAAAACGGGGGTCCTTACAAGTAGGGCACCTCTTTGAAACCCCGGTGTCCATAGTTTTGACAACCAACGTAGGGGGCTCCTTTGTGTTGCAACAAAACCCCCGCACTGAGTGCTGACAAACTTGAATGAAAGAACCTCCGACAAAAACCTTCATGAGTTGCTCGTGCTGTGCAGAATATCTTGATTTGTCTTGAAACAGGCATGGCCCTGGGTGTTCTTTTAGAATACTTGCACAACCCCTAGGCCAAAATAAGCTCATGATTGATTGTTGCGAAGGCCGCCATATTTATTCTTCAACCCAGTGTTTGCTTTACAGTTGTTTGCTTCTCGGTAGACCGCCACTCGACGGAGAAGAGCACCGGCAAACTGATTGACGGTGGCAGTCCCCGGGTGAGGGGATTGTGCCGATTACCTCATCGAGGCTTCGTTGCAAAGAAAGGGAGGCGCTATTTCTACCTAGACTCTCCATGACCCTTGAAAAATGGTTGGTCATCACCCGAATCTTTCTTTTGGGTCATGACCAACCATTTTCGCTTCGGGTCAGATTCGGAGACTCCAGGTAGGGTAGCCCACGATTTGCTTTGGTCTCCAAACCGATCCGAAAAATCTCGATACCCATCACGTAGCTCGTCTCAAGCCCCCCGCCCCCCTCCCTTTCTCGGGGGGGCCTCCCCGAAAATGGGTTGCTTTCGAGCTTCCCGCTGAAGAAAGCAGATGCGTTATGACACACCTTCAGCCTAGGTCAATGCTCATCTCTACACCATCTCAAAAACCTAGGAACCAAATCTTGCGCAAATTTTCAGCATCTCGGCTGTCCAGCTTTTCACCCAGAAAGAGAAGGTGAACCCTTTACAACCCTGATCAAACAAGGGAACCGCATCATATATCGCTTATTCTGGGAAACAAAATCAGGCACGACAAAATTGACCAAATCAGGGAAACCACCGGGTCAAAAGGTCGATTCGCTTTGGGCGGTGAAGCGAGTGAAGGGCAAAAGATGTCTCCAGTCCCAAGCTTCTCACTGAGCACCCCGCTTCGTACTGGTATCCTTCATACTGCCCACTCCTCAGCGTTCGCACAGGTGCGTCATTTTGGGTTCGTCTTTGACTCACTCCCTGAGCGGGTTGGCCAAATGCCAACTGTCCAGACTCGTCGTTTGCCACTGAAACAGTCTTCCCAAAAGTAGTTTGTCCAATTACCCTAGGATCCTAGGAAGTTAGTTGACCCCTCCAAAAAGTTTAAGCTTGTGATAGTTACCTCCCCCATTGTTGCCATGGAACCTGACATTTCGAGGTCCAAACTGTTTTGTTTCTTTGAAGGGGACCGGGGACCATTACTCTGGTTGGTTCCATGCAACGTGGACAGGAGGGTAGGGAAATAGGTGTGTCTTTTTGGGGGAACCCCTCTTGGTTGGGTTTCGAAGGGGAAACCAAAAGGAAACCAATCATTTCTGGGAGGTGTTTCTGTTTGTTTGTTTAAATGACAACCTTTGTTTTGGGGGTGACTTGAAAAAACACACCCATCAAACCGCAGGTAGGCAAGCTCTGGGGACCGACCCGACTCCCAACTAGTCATTGTGCAGAAGCAAGGCTCCAGGTCGTATCAAAGTACTCCTGCCCTAAGGGTCTCGATTGTTTTTGGGCCCTCAAAACTGGTTGTTTTCAAGGGGTCTCTGAGGAATTGGTCGGGGTTCTCCATTGGTTCGGGTCCGGGTCCGGGGGTGTGCGGAAAAATAGATGGCCCTGGTCAATGGCATAAACCAGGGCCCTCCATGTTTTAAGCAAATTACAATAAACCAATAAACCAATAAAATAAGGAATACACCAATATAATTTTTAATGGACTAAACCAATCAAATAGGACACCTATGTACAAGCAGCTATTGAGTCTTCTGACCCGCGCCAGCTGCTTCAGCAAGACTCAGCAGCCGAAAAGCCCTGCGCAGCGCGTAATAGAAAGCAGTCGCGTTGCGAACAAGGCGTCTAAAGGACAGTAGACTCTCCATGACCCTTTAAAAATGGGGTCACTACCCAAAAGAAAGGGGTCACATGGGCCCATTTTTGAAGGGTCATGGAGAGACTATAGGTAGCTTCTTTCACAGAGCCTTGAAATCTTGGTGGCCGAAACTCGCGTGTCGGTGCCTGGGAGCTTAGATGCAAAGGATTTAATGTTGACCCCGGATCTAAGTAGAACCCCTGATTGATTGATACTGTGGATGGACGAAATCCAAAAATCGCACCACCCAAGAAACAATGGTTGGAACCATAATGTTTGTTGGTATTTACAGGGGAATCATCATTATCAAGGTTTCTTAGGTGGTGCAGGATTTCGTCCATCCACAGTAGGGGGTGTCCCCTTTTAGTGGTTGGATTCAGACCACTTTTGGAGGGAACACCCCCCTAAGACGGGTTTCTTCATCCGGGGTCAACATTACCCATGCCCAGGTGTTGCCTCGCTGGCAATTGAAGCCAGTGCCGGTCCGCGGCTCCTATCTGGTCTTGCGTGGTAGGAGTCTCCTATTCAAGGTTGCTGCTAGTCTTGCAGTGTTCTCGCTTTCTTTTCGCAGATACCCCTGGCTTTGACCTTGAGAACGCCCAGAAACACCACGTTTCGGATTTTGCACCATTGAGCATCCCAGAACTCATTGAAGGCTTCTACCAAGACGGGTCGAGCTTTGTAGGCGATGGGTACCCCCTACTCCAAATACCATCTTTTTTCAGGGTATCATGTCGACCCTCTACTAAAAAAGGAGCTATTTACCCTGGAAAACCGATCGGTTGTCCCAAAAAATACCCTGAAAAGAATAATGTATTTTGAGTAGGGGGCATATTTCTTTTTTTGGGGCCCTTCGGTGGGCAGCAAGAAACAAATGTGTGCGTCTTTTATTGAGACTACCCTGTTTGCGTGGCTTCAAAGGAGAAAACCAAACGGACAACTGTGTTATTCTGGCCCGGGATTCTAGCATCAAAGTCAACCAAGTGATAGGGAACCACCCCAACCAAGTGCTGACTTGGATAACCCCCCCCCAAAAAAGACCTTAAAAACTGGGCTATCCTCAGATCCCCTGCACAAATGAATAACTTGGTGGGTGAAATAGACACCCAACCACCGTCTCACCAACCAAAAAGCAGCCAAAGGCTACGATTGAAGCTCGCAACGAGGCTGCCATGAGTCTTATCTTTAAAGACGCACCTGCTTCGGATTGATGTCTTTTTGGGGTTTTTAGACCCGAACAAATCCCTGTGAAAGAACCAATAAATCCGGGATCTGGCTCGCTTGATTTGGTACTTGGACCCTCAAACTACCGATGAACGCAATATTTTTTCTCGTTACTTTCTTTAGGGATAGTTTGGGGCCCAGGTACTTTCCAACGGACACAGCACGAACACACAGACAACAAAGAGGAAAAACCACGTCACTGGGGATCCGGGGGGCACTTGCAGTTGCGCCCCTCCCAGCTCTACTTGCCAAGCGTCAGGAAGGGATCACGCGCAAACTCGCTCCTGGCTTTGGGAAAAGGCCGCGGAAAACCGCGGAAAGTCTCGCGGGCCAACGGGGGGTGACCGCTTCAAGAATCCCCTGCTTTGACCACGCAGCCCGTTGAGGATCCGCCACCCTTCTACCTGGAACCCCAAAAGACCAAATCTAAATAGTCGTCCAGAGGTGGGACATGTGAGAACGGCCGTTTGCTCCAAACACGGCCGTTTCAGGAGAGTCGGATGACTGAATTAAGTTTCAAGATTTTGTCCGGCACTTCAGCCGCAGCCCCTTTTCTGCGAACGCTCAAAGAATAACGCAAAAGCTTTCCTACTGCGTCCAGTTGTTTTAAAAGTCTAGGAACCCATGATCGATGGCGCATGCCAGCTTTTGAAAGCGTACCAGGGTTCGACTGATCCAACAATTGTCCAATTCAAAGCTCTTTGATGTGAAGCTCTCTTGGCCTTTTTCCTCGCACGCAATCAGTTCTGCCATTTGATACGCAGCCTGCTCTCGAATAATGCTTCGAAGGCAACATATTGTTCGAAAGCTCCTTTTCGGAAACATCGAAAAAACCTCTTTGGAACCCCTTTTCGAAAGCAACCTTTCGAAAGCCGCTTTCAAACCCCCTCTTTCAAAAGCCTCCATTTGAAAGACCCATTTCGCACTTTCAACCCCCCCTTTCGAAAGCCGCCTTTCGAAACCTTCTTAGCGCCCGCCTTCGAAAGCCCCCCCTTTTTGAAAGCCCTTTTTGAAAGCCTATTTCGAATCTTCATTTCGAAAGCTACGTTTCGAAAGCGACCGGGCAAAATTGAATTCGATGCCGATCAAACACAATTTGAGATCCCAAAAAAACGCGGCTTTTTGAATCTGGTCGTTTGCATGGGTAAGAATGGGCGTTGCACGGGTAAGAATGGGCGTTGCACGGGTAAGAACAGTTGTTTCAAAAATCAATTTCGACCAACAAAAACGGTGATTGGCCAATCAACCTGAGCTCGAATGCGACAGACCCAGGATGGTTCGATCGAAATACGTTCTTCGAATACGCAGCGTTCAGGTATGCATCTGTACCAGTCGAAAAAGGGCAGTTCTTTATTTTATGCATGGGACCCTTTCAACATCCAGAATCTAAAAGTCGAAGCTGTCCTACTTAAGTACAGCTGACTGCAATCGGTGTTGTTGTTTTTTTTTGTGGTGTCCCAAAGTACGTGTGTTCTAAGCCGCGGGTTTTGGGACAACAGTAAATTCGCTCATTTTGGGTACAAGCCCCGCGGTTCACTATTTCAGTGCAACGTTGGCATGACTTTTGCATGCGAGCATTGAAGAAGACACTTTGCATGGGCCTTTTACCAAATATGATTATTTTCGGTTCGCAGTTTTAGCATTGAAGAATCTTTGGTCCCCACCGAAGGAACCTATGCGCGTCATCCATATTGGCAAACACATGGCGACAAACTGAGGTTTCCCGCTTCTTTTGTTGTGCTCTTAATTTGTCATATGGACTTACTATTCTTATCTATTCTTGCTTAGGCTGGGCTGCAAGTCATTTTACCGGCTGTGAGTACATCCCTGCCATGCAGATTCAGCTGCTTTCCTGTCAGCCACCCTGGTCCGGCCAGTTTCGGGCGAAGTGAGTCAAGAACGGCCGTGAGACAAAGCAACCATTTATTTTTAGTCGTTTCAGGCCCCAGGTAGGGGTAACTTCCATTTCCATTCTTTCCAGGGATGCGAAGTTCTTTCTAGAAAACCACCTAAAACCCTGGAAATGGCTTCTTTTTTTAAATAACGATGGCTGAAAAGAATGGGGAATCAACCCCTAGAAGCCTTCTCAAATCCGTTTCTCTTTCTCACAGCAGATTCACAAGTCGCATGGACAAGTCTTATGTTAACATCGGAATCCGAAGGACCCTAGTTAGAGTTCCCCCCAAAACAGATCATGTCCTTACAAGGGCATCCACCCCTGCACATCGTAGCCGGTTTTCCCGATGAATCCGAAGTTCATATGGCCCAATCATGTATTTTCAAGTGTTGGGCTAGGCTCAGTTGTTCAGGGACTCTGGAAAAAAAGGGAACCCTTTTTGGGGAAGTGTCCATTTTAGTGGGGCCCCCACCAAAAAAAAGTTGGAGAAAGAGCAAAAGTTGGTGCCACCGAAGAACTGAGTAGGGCTTGCCTAGGGACTTGACCTCCCCAAGATCCTTTCTGTCTCCCCTTCCAAGGCACCCCTTCGCCTCAGCAAACCAGCCCTTCGCCACCCAAGATAGAGCTCGCCGCCCGACGGAATTCCATTCGATTCCCCAAGGCAAAGACCAACATACGTGATCTAGGTCCTCCAGATTTGAGAGGTTAGAATAAGGGTACCAACTTTTTTCTGTAGTCCACTTTAGTAGGGGAACCCTCCCCCAAAAAACACTCCTGGGGGACCTAGTTTTGGTTTCGTGGTGCGAAATGGATTTCGTCCACAGGGCTCCCAGATTCTTTTCAAATCACTCTGGTCCAAGGATTGATTCCCCATCGGAAGGTAGACTTAAACCCAGAAATAGAACCCTGTTCCCCGTTCCTTCACCCACCCATCTCTTCATCAACCGCCTTCCCAATTTTGAGCAATTGTTCAAAGAGAGGGTTTCCTTGACATAACGGGGAGCCTACCCCTTGCTCGGTCTGCCTGCAAACTGGCCGATGGTACAATGGGCTGCAATGATGTATGAAACACAAGGCATCTGGCACCAAAACCTGAACGGTGGGACAGCAAGACGGCAAAGGTGAGCTATGCAATCCATGAATTGAAAAAAGAAGAAATCCAAACTTGCCCAAGAACCAGGACATAGCTGGTTCACCTTTCTGTGGTTGCTGTTGACCCTATGCAAAAACTGTTCAACTCTTTGTGGGACCAATACGAGTTTCCACAAAGTATCAACCAAACATTAAACATATGGTCAGTCCAAAGATCCGTCGCCAAAAAGCCATAAAGTGTAGGAACTTTTACAGACTTTAACATTTCTACAAACCAACCGGCTAAAAGGTTAGATTTGGACGTACCGTAGGATGCCTCTTTCCGAGGTTGCCAACAAAAACTGCCCAGGAGGATGACTGATGCCATCAGAAGCTTGGCATCATCATGTTGCAAACGGCTTTTAGATGTGAAGTTCTAAATGTTGTCTATCAAATTGTATCAAAAGGTGATCCGCACCTTTTGATTGCCATCTATTTGCTTAAGTCCCTGGGACAAACGTGCGAATATGTCCAGTAGTCATAGACCACCCTTAAAATCAACAGGGGCAAATGAAAACACACAGAAACGCACATGGAAGCTGTGCAAACTCATTTTCGCCAAGGGCAATGCCTGAGCCGCCAACCCGCAACGACCCCGGGATGGTCCCATTGCGAGTGCCCCACCTGTAGCCATCGTCTGGGTCTGCTGCCATACCTCCGGCAGAGACTTGCGCTATGTTAATGCTTTTTGGGACAGCCCCTTTTGCTACAGTACTTACATGATACGACGCTTTTCTCAATGGCGTACCCAGTCAGGGTTCGCAACATTTCCCCTTTTGTGGAAGGAGAAGTGAAGCAACTACCAAAAGCAACAAAATACCGCATGGAGGGGGAGAACACAAAACAAAACAAACTCAACTGCCATGTTTCTCCCTCCCCCCAAAAAGGCCAAAAGAGCACTATTGGGGACCTAGGCAACTCACTCTTTGTTGGGCCTTGAACATCTAGCCAAAAAAGGTGCCCCTGTTCTCTCCTGAACGATGCAGGAGTTCGTCACACTATGATTCAAGGCTGGAATGCTCAGCCCCCTGAAATTTTCGGTTCACATCCCAAAGGAAAAAGAAACCGTGTTGACCTTTGATTTCCCAGCTGAAAGCTATGGGGTCGATACGCCCAGATAGGCTCCTTCACCGAACATGCAACTGAAGCAGCAAAGAAAGCTCTGGGGTCCATAGATCCCCCCAGCTTTGCCCTCCTGGGTTTTCTGTTTGGAGCGCCAGGTCTGACCTACACAAAGGGCCGGTTCCGCGAAGAAAATGATGGATCCACCTGCGCTGTCCACATGAATGGGGGGCAACCAAAATGGGAGGGGAACCAAAATGAGAGGTGGGGAACAAAGCTGGCAAGGTGGCAAGAAGCTTTGAGAAAGCCATGGGAGGCAGCCACAATTGGCAAAAAAGAAATTGCGACAGCCGCAGATTGAGCCAGCTGAGTGGGCAAACAGACCACCGCTTCAGGGTGGCCTCTGAAGCGGATGCCGCTTCCCACCATTCAAAAGGCCCCGCAAAACATGGGATCGCCATTGGTTGAAACCACCAAAAAAGATAAGGTACTGGGGATGAAATCCATTTCGCACCACCTACGAAACCCGAATGAATCATGATTCCCCTGCAAATACCAAGGAACAATGGTTCCAACCATGGTTTCAAAGTGGTGCAGGATTTCGTCCATCCGCTGTATTTCAACCACCCATGGTCATTTTGGGGGCAGGAATATACATCACCCCATTTCGAGGCCAAAGAAGCAGCTCTGAAAATTGACCACCAGCCTCTATCCAACAGGTGGGCTCCTTTTGGGCAGTGGGCTGAACTTCGGGATGTCACCCGCCAAACGCAGACCTCCAAGCAAACGGCTGCCACTTCTGGGACGCCAAAGGGTTCATTCCAAAACCTCTCCAACTCAGGTGTTCAGTGACCCCGGAAAAAAAAAGGAACTCTTTTTTGGGCTTGGACCATTTTAGTGGGGCAGCCACCAAAAAAAAAGGGAAAAAGGGAGCCACTCAACAACTGAGCCAAGCTCCACATTGGACTACAGTGCATGTGGCTGCCTTTACGGAACCTGAGAAACAGGATCCAATGAACCATCTTGAGACAGACCACTTCCGAATGTTCTCACCTCGTCAAACCCAAAAAGCAATTCGGAACCCGAAACCCTAAGCCCTAAACCCACAAACCCAAAAAGCAATTCGGAACAGCTGGGAGCCCTGAACTGGCCAGCTGGAATTGCCCCTTCACCTGGATTTTGCTTGGTTAGCCGCAAGGAACCTTGACTAAATATGGACCAACACTGGACTCAGTTGTTCAGTCACCCTGGAGAAAAAAGGGAACCCTTTTTTGGGAAGACAATTTTTAGTGGGCAGCCACCAAACAAAAAGGGAAAAAGGGTGCCACTGAACAACTGAGTGGAGATTCAACAGGGTAAGGGGTTGGCTTGGGGCAACTGAGAGCAAACTTTGACCTGGCTATGAATGTTCATCGAGGAGTGCCCTCCCATGTGGTGCATACAAGAGCAATTCCACCTAGATGATGTCCACCATTTCGGGTCCCCAATGAACATTCACACCCAGGCCAAACCCAGACCCAACTGTCCATATGGAACCCGCCAAAAATTACTCTAAGAGGAAAGGAATCTGCTCACATCACAACTGATCATAATTAGTTTTTGGCTGACAAATTCAACGAATTTCAGTGATGCAAACGATGACTGCGTTTCACATTACGATTCAACATTGGCGACAATTGAACATGACGATGACAATTATGTAGCGTGTCGAATTGGTATTGTTAATCGTGTTAATGACATATCTAAATGCTACTGGTTGATCTACGCAACATGTCGAAATGTGGAACATACTGTGGATGGACGAAATCCTGCACCGCCCCAGAAACTCCATTCCCCATCGTGAATACCAACAAACAATTATGGTCTGGATTCAATTTTCCGATTTCTGGACTCCGCAACCATCCACAGTATGTGCAACCTCCCCCCCTCCCCCCCCAGGTTTTATTTGGGGACCTGCCCTCCCCCCCCACGTTTTATTGCGGGACCGTGGGTGTTCTATTTCCCTGCGTGGGTGTCATTTTGGTTTCCCCCACTGACGTCGGATTGATATGGGGGTGTCCCTGGTTTTAGTGGGGATTTATCACACACCCCAATATGAATTAACAGGGCTCCTTAAAAGATACATTTTGCCAATTTGAGACATGTTGCTTTTTCAACACCAAAGTAAGGTTGGAAACCACCATTTACAAGCAAGTGGCCATGTTCAGGTGTTTTTCATGGGTCAACATTGAACTCAAGCTGACTCACCCCGCCTGCGCGGCCCGGCCCAAAGCTTCCAGGCCCGTAGCTCTCTGGGCCGTAGCTCTCTGGGCCGTAGCCCTCTGGGCCGTAGCCCTCTGGGCCGTCCATGTGACCCAGCCTTCGGAAACGAAACGACACCAAGACGCCAACAAAACGAAACCCAGGCGCCTCCCAACAAATTTAAACAAACACAAACAAGATTTCCCCTATCAGCCCCTTGGACAACTCATTCTTTGAGGCCGGTCAACGGCACGTTAGAAACCGAAAACATTTCCCCAGGAGCCCCTTGGACAACTCATTCTTTGAGGCTGGTCAAAGGCACTTTAGAAACAACTAACCACCTTCCCCAGGTGCCCCTTGGACAACTCATTCCGTGAGGCCGCCGGTCAAGGGGGTCAGAGGCCAACTCATATTCAGGCTCCTCGGGTTTTGAATGGGTTGCAATGTCTCACATTTGGTGGTCTCCGAACATTTCATGGAGCAAATGAAAGTCCAACTGGAGTCACACCTGGAGTGAACAGTGCGCCTCCGGCTAAGGAGGATGTGGATTGTTTTTGGAGGGCGCGAGTTTGGGTTGCTAAAAAAGGACGAAAGACAAACTGATGGTCTGAGACCTAGCTAAGTGGTTACAACCCCAAACGGGACTTACTATGGCAAGCAGTTTTTGACCATGCTTACTAACCACTTGACAAAAATCTGTACCGTCCAACTAGAGAGGGCATCTGCAATTTCAGCTCAGCTTGCTTTGCAATGAACCAAATTTTGGGGTCTCTATGGATGTCACTAACCATGCCTTCCCAACCTCGAACATGGCTGTTGCTTGAAAATGGACGCCCTCAATCCCCCGTTGGCAGGCAAGACAACACCCTCTGCGGCCTTCATTCTGAGTCATGGAAGTAACAGATCGCTTAAAACAGAGAATCAGCTCCTTTCTGGTTGGTGGGTTGGTGGGTTGGTGGGTTGGTGGGTTGGTGTGTTGGTGGGTTGGTGGGTTGGTGGGTTGGTGGTTTGGTGGTTTGGTGGTGAAACGAAGTGGTTTTCCATGTAGCCTGTACAAGAGGCAGGGGCCCGTTCAAATCCAAATCCAAACCACCATTTGGGGAATACCACTTGGGGACCCTTGGGTCTTCAGGCGGCTCC